AAAAAAAAAAAAAAGGAAAGAACGAACACGATAAATTTTACGATCCTCGTATATATCGAAACACGGATTTCCTCGCTTAAAGTAAAATCCCAGAAAGCGGTTCTCCTGCTCGTAAAACGGTCGTTGTTCTTTTGCCAACTCGTTCGCTTTTGATAGATGCGCCATTGCGCGAATTCACCACGAGTTAATTACACCGTGTCGTACCCGGCTCGTTCATTTTTCCGCGCTGCTTCTGACAGTTTACGACACTTTCTTTTCCCGAGGGCGCGACCATGCACTCGCGATTGTCTCCGCGATATCGCGCGTCCAGCGTTCGCATTCGGAAGAATTCGCATGTTAACAGCAGCGTTCCACTCTTCTTCGAAGTACTCGGCTTATCTCGGAATCAATCTGGTTGAGTTTCTGCGTTTCTAACGAGGATGAGAAAGTGTTTGACGTAAGACGGTCGCGTCAAAGACTAAATCGGAGCTGACTCGCGACGATAAAGTTATTAATTCCCCTTTCGCAAGAGACGAGAAATGCGTAAATTACACGGTGGATCAATCAATGGAAAACTACCGTGTTAACCTTTCCCGCTACACGAATCGATCGAGTCCTTTCTATCGACGATTCCATTCGACGTTCGAATGCAACCGCGTCTGCGTTTTTATCATCCAGAGGTGTTTACCGATGACACCATAAATCGGCGAATTGCTCGGAGCTAGCAGCAACGACGACGGGTTTAACGCTCCAGTCACTCGTGTATGCGGCCAATTTACATAAACCATAACGAATGTGCACGGCGGTGGGTACGGTGCTGTGTAACGCGATACACACTGTACATTGTAAGGAAATCAGATCTTACACACGAGGAAGGAAAGGATAACAGGGCCGATGTGCAACGGTCGTCACACCCATATATCGATCGGCTGCGAACTAAGAATTCGCCGGTTCTCGCCATAGAACGACGATACGAAATCTATGCTCGCTGGTATCGTCTTATCTACGCGAGTTCGGCTCGAAACCGATCCGCCGTTGCCAATATTTATATTCCGATCGTCGCTGAAACCGTTGTTCCGCTTAGTTACATTCTTTCGTTGACCTTCTATACATTTCGTTCCTTCCCGTTTTTTGGTGCATCGTGCCAATTGCATAACGTTGCAAGTACTTTGTCTAACTTTGGATTTTTCGAAATTTTCATTTGAAACATTTGATTCGTTTTTTAGATACGACACGTACGTGTTGACATTTAACGGCTTGCATCTTTATAAACATTTTGCAAGCATGGCAGAATTCCGTTTATATGAATTTGTTGAGGAACAAATATGATTAAAGTTTATGTAATAAGGGTTCACTCGTGTACACTGAAACTTAGTGGATTCTTATTATAGTTCCACAGGATGGGCTAAAAATCACTTGCTACTAAAATAAATCCGTAATTTTTTTTGTGATGTATTTTTTAAAATTTTTAAATTTTTTTTACAGATTAAAGTACACAAAAGACAATCCTTATTATGAATAAATATACGCCGCAAGAAAAAATTAAAATAGTGATATTTCACCTCGAAAGTCATAGAAATGTTTCTCAAATACAAATGAAATTTAGAAGATTTCCCGGGTTTGTCGACTCCTGACTTCTTTCTTCGGGACTATTTAAAAGACAAGGTTTACGTTAATAAGCCACAAAATTTAACACAATTCAGAAGATAACATTCGAGTCGAAATAGCGGCAATACCAGCAGCAACATTAAAATTAGTAATGGGAACATGCTACAAACTTGCGAACGCTTTGGCGGTCAACGTTTGAAAGAAATAATTTTTAAAACATAATGGAAAAATCATGTTTGAACTTAAATTTAATTCAAAATTAATAAAATTAGTTTTTTTCTTATATTTTTTATTAAAAAAAAAGAAATAGGTGGGAAGAAACTTTTAGCTCACCCTTATATTATAGTTATATCTTTACTATAATGGAAAGAGTCCACTGAAAATTTTTAGAGTCCCTTTACTAATTTTTCGTTTCATAAAATTTTCGTTTCATTTAGTCTAATATTGACTAAAATTTGGTTCAAATCAATGAACTCAATATG